TGTCTAGCAGAGAGGTGTATCTTATGTTCACTTATGGTCATTAGGACCACCCAGGCGTTGTATATCGAGTATGTCTTCCTGAACTGTATCATTTCCCTTCCGCCCTGCCCTTTGCTGAATCGTACAACGTTTTGGGAAAGAAAATGGGAGTTATCGAGAGCTTTAGCCACTTAGTATTAATTATATACGTTTAATGACTTACAATTTGTAGATCTTTTTCTGACCATCTTGAAAACTCAATCTTGAGGAGACCCGTCATACCCGAATGAGCCTGTATTGTGAAAGAGGATAATACTTGAGGTTACATCGTGATTTGGTGAATCAACACTGTATGTTTCAACCACATACATGGAGGTAATCACGAAGTGATCATGTGTTGGTAAGATCTTGTTAGAAGAAATATACTGTTCGGCTTGTGCATACCTCCAGTGATGGAACAGAAAGTAGCCAGAAAGATTTGTTGGATTTGCTGCTTCAGTAAATGACCCTTGAAGAGGCAAAGACCGTTACCTCTCAATATGTAAGACAGACAACAGAAAAGCTTATACATTTGTTCATAACGAATGGATTTTGTAGGCACTGGAATGTTTTGACTTCCTTGGACAAGTAATTGTTTTACTCAAGTCTCCAAGGAATATCTGGTCAACTTATTTTGCAATATATTTGCGATGTGCAGGTGCTGACTCCAGAACGGGAATGTCTCAGGGCGATTATTTTATTCCTTTGCTGTTTTTTACTAAATCCTTTTCCCTTAACAAAGAGGAAGGTTATCACTCAGGACACAAATATGATGGACATGATTCAGGGAAAGGGAGCAAGGGCTGACGATGAGACAGACCAGCCTGACCGCCAGGATCACCCGAACCCTCTTTGATGCATTTATATATCCTAATCTGTAACTAATATGATAATGTCATTTGGGCTCAATAAATGCAACATTGTCAACCTGAAACATGGCAAAGTTGACGGGGTAGTACAAACGTAGAAATGATGTTCATAATAATCATAATAATAAAGAAAAGATGAATACGTTTACTTTAAAGTTCAAAACCACTGACGTCAATGTCAGCACGGCAACAATCGTCAGCAAGACCACCATAGATTCTATCAACACTAGGTACTCTTCTCTCATTAAATCGTTCTGTATGCAGCCATAGAGCATCAGGCAGACAACGGGGATGGATGCTATGTGGCAGGAACCGATCACGTGTTGGAAAACCTCATTAGCCGTTTCTACAAGAGCACATATGTCTTCAAACTGTCTACGAATCCTGTCAATGTCATTTGTTGATGGTACATCTCCACCTTTCGTGCCATACGTGTGTTTTGTAATAGCATGTATCCGTGAATATTCTTTAGACATACAGAAGGTACAGAGCATGAACAATCTTAAGATGACGTTCATTTGAAGTATCAAAAGCCACAGGCAAATAGTGTCCTCTTGAATGTATCCAAAAGGTATGAGATATAATGCTTGGGGATTTACATCGTCAAATGTTGTCAGACATATAAAGAACACGTTGAAAATACTTGTTGATAAGACAAGACACAACAGTATTTTAACCATTCGCCTGATTTTAGCACTGTCAATGGCTGACCCATAAGTCTTACGGCAGTTATCGTATTCCCGGAATAGGCTGGACAGGTGCTTGTAGATGCTGAAACAAGTAGCGCTGGTGTAGTAAGCGCAAGTCACATTTAACCCACAGTAAGACAGTAGAGCGGTCCATTTGCCCACAGTATCAATTCCACTGGCGAAGAGAAAGAAACGAACGTTCCCCAGGCCCATACACACGTAGAAGCAGACACTGTACATAATACCCAAGACACTGGAAGTCTTTCCTCTTTTTAGTGGCATGTGCATCCCTGCACAATTAAGAAATTTCATCAGCGGTTTGAAACACCATTCCACGTCTGCACTGTCGAAATCTTGAACTGGTGCAGGATTGTCCACTGATACAGACATCTTCGTATTCAACTTATGCAAAGATGACGAGGCCAGCAGTGTGTTTGCAAGCGCAGTCAGCTTTCTGTAGAGGCAACGGTGGCATATGCCAGAAAACACAATAGAAACGTGTAAAAGTGGAGAGTTAATCCATTTCGTGTGTAAACATCGGTGGCTAATGGGAAAAAGAAATTAACTAAAATGAATTATCGCACGAAATTACAGTGTTTATCTGTCAAACCATCCATACTATTTTCTGGCCTATTGTACAACAACACGACAAAATACAATTTGGTCACGTGTGGGACCTGGTATTAAATACATTTTTTAGATATAATGCAACAGATTTAGTAACGTTCATATTTGTACTATTTAACAAATTTATGAAAATTTGAGTAGCAATGACAGATTTTTTTGGCAAATATCTACTCCTTAGAGATGAATATTTACTGCAAACAAGTAATACATGAAGCTCATCTTCCCTACCACAAATACAATGAGGTTAAAAATCTAAGTGATTTACACCATTCTCACGCCTTTTCCTGTCTATTGCAAAATCGTGGAGTGATATCCTCATTTTATAGAAAACTCTGCTCAGCTCTCTATCCTTTAGTGGTGTTATATACATTTCCGGTTGTAGAAGGGATAACTTCACTTGTTTATAGTGCTCAAGAAGAGATGAACTATTGATTGAGTAATGCCAGTCTTGTAAGTATACATCAATCAGGCGCTGCTTGAAAATGTAAAGAAACTGTTTCGGACCACCAACAGCTTGAGCCAGACATACACAGGAATATCCAGTCATAAATAACAAACTTCGTACATTACACGCCCAGGTGTGTCTTTCATCCTCGTCCAGTTATTTCAACATTAAATAACAATTGTGTGGATATCTACGTGTGTCTTGTCTCAGAAGACGAAGCCAATATTTAATTACTTTACACTGACCACAAATGTGCATGGTGTAACGCCCAGTTTCCCCATATCTCAGATGGGTACAGCAGTATTGGAGATATCTTTGTGTCAAACAGTTTGCACGCTGTGGAGAATGGTAAGTCTTTACACTGTCTGAATAGCTGATATAAAGGTAAGACAGCTTTTCCCGCCTGCGACACCAGTGTTTGGCAAGCCTTTGCCCATTTTAATACGCAGGAGAATAGCAAACCAAGATATTTGTAATAAGTGACAATCTTTAGGACAACAATTCTAAGAAACGACTCTGGACAGTCTTGATTGAACAATATATAACCTATAAGTCAGGTGGCTTGTGAGACTAACATCTAAGATGTATTTCGAGGAACAGAACTAAAGACGCTGCTGTAATCGTTGTGTTTATAGTAGAGTCGGAACCTTTCTGTGGTCTCTGTTTTGGGCAGATCTTTCTCGCGATCACGACAGGTGAAGCCGGGATTCATCACAAAGATCATCCATATGTCCGAAGTTTCACGAATGTTGGGCATATCAAAACGTTTAATTTCTTTCCAAACAGCGGGACTTCAATAAGAGTTGGTCTGGTAGGCCTACCTGACAAAACACCCTGGGCAAGATAGTCTCATTGCACTTAGAGCACTATACGACAGCATCCAATTTATCCCTGCTCGATAACGGGAAGGCGAGTTTCAACGTCTACCGTTAAATGGCTCTTTAGATTCCACCTGAATGTGTGAACCAAACAACTTTCTGCATGCGGCAGATATTGTAGGCGACCAGGAATCACCAGGAATCGGCTGTGGTAATAGGACACACTATGCTGTCAGATGAATCACGGTTTTGCCTCTTATTCACAGACGTCCGAAAAGGCTGTTGGCGATGCGGTATGCCAGGGCAACAGTCCTTGATTATTGTTGTTATGGGGAGGTCTGGACATTGTTTGGGACTATCAAATAATTGTCAGGTAGTGATGATATCAGATTAGTGTATGGTATGCAAACACATGCAAAAGCAAGTCAGTTGTTTATACGAGAATGTGTGGTAAACGTTAAGACAATAATGCATCGGGCATACCATTGTCACTGATGTGATCTCTATGCTTACTATAAAACCTTTTAAAATCTTAACTGAGGCTTTGCATACTCCTTTCTTGCCTTCAGGCGGTTAAAAATCTTTCTTGCAAACATCCACTTTTAATAGAAATTATTGAGTTGTATAATGAGCTTGCTACTGGCCAATAAGACATCGTCCTCTGTTGGTTACCCAGCTACGTTGGCATTTCTGGAATCTTGCTGCCAAGGCAGCACTCAACAAATATGTGACACCACTTCTTATCCCGTACTCTGATTACAAAGCTAACATTAGAACCTACATCCATGATCTGATGCAGAAGAAGTGGGACACCCAAGTAGGTATCAATAAATTACATGAAATAAAACCCTATATCGGTTACACCTACTTGGGTTGTCAGTCCAGATTTGAAGAGGTCATCATACGACGATGTCGTAATGGCCACACAAGATATACTCATGCATACCTATTGAAAGATGAGGATCCTCCGTTTTGTATCCCTTGTGATGAGAGAACCACGGTCAGGCATGTCTGGCTTGACTGTGTTGAATTCTCCATCAAAAGGGATAAATATTGTAATATCAAAACAGTTAATGATCTTTTTTAATAATTTTAATTATCATTTAATCATTGATTTGTTAAAAGAGATAGATTTGTTAAATGTCAATTTCGCTCAACCATACTTTTAATATCGTAGTATTTTTTGTTATTGTGTTAGTAAATAAATATATTTTACAGATTGGTAGTTTAGATTAGTAACTTAGATTGTTAGTGGCTGTACCCTCAAAGGGGGTTAAAGTACTGTAAAATTATTGTCCTCCTTAGAGTGTACGTAAGTCCCAAATTTTCTTAATTTTACCACATTTTAAAAGTAATAGTTTTGTTATTTTAACTGCCGGCTAAATTTTTCTACCATCGCCAGCGGCTGAAGGGGTGGTGTAAATCCAACTAGGGCCCATGCAGGTAGCAAAAGTAATGTAAGTCCCCATGGTTCCTAGTATGGTGATCTACCTTCAGTTGTTGACTGGTTATTAACCTACTTGTATTTATATTCATACAATGTGTATAGTATTTATCAACGGATGAGAACTTGTCATTCCTCGTCATCGTGCATATGGCTGATCATTCAAATCTTCCTGACAGTTCCCGAGTTCCCACGATCTATGTCTTCACATCCAGATACAGTTAGTCAGTCTTGAACTGCAGAACCACCACCACATACGTCAGCATAGTTCCCGACAGCTGAAAACAAAGCCACATACTAAATTACGAGTGAGTTGGGTTAAACGTCGTTTCGAGCAGTATTACATGGTCAGTTATATCACGGCATGCCAGCACACTGTGGGAGACAAGAAGTAATGTATGTTTCAAACCTTCACCACCTTGGTAACACCCACGAGCATTGGTATTGTGCTGAGAAACCAAGAACAACCGGATATAGAACCAAACCCAGGCGATTAGACATCTTCTTGACAAGTATATGTCCTTGGCAACTGCATAGACTTGTTGTGTTGTGCAGAAGGGTTTGAACGTGTATATTTTGAAACTAACTAAAACAGAATGAGTGTTTCTATTGTAGAAGGTTATAGATCAGGGTTGACCTTCAGCACTGAGATTATACAAATGTTACTTCCGGTTCGCATATGTCATCACGCAGTAATACTCACCATTAGGATGGTTGAGCTATCAATCGTGAAGAGGCTGTACAAGGTATAACCTATATTGGTTGTTGTGAGTCTCATGATGAAAGTGTTAATCTGAAATAGATATTGACGTTTTGTTGCAATTACAGATCATGACGAAAAAGAAGATACTCGGAAGCGCACTGTCGCTTAGGGAGTGGGACCTGTGCAGATCTGGGTTAGAATTGGTCACCAGCAATCCATTCTTGTAGTAAGAGGGGACTAACAGAATCGGGTGGTCAGGCTCGCTCACTTGTTTGACACATGTCATTGTATCCCAGTTTCGTAGATCGATGGTCATGCTATTGATCACTGGGTCGTCTGGTCCAGATAATCGCTATATAGCTGGGGTGCGACCTTAAACAAGTACCAAACCAACCTGAGGGAATGGTGTGAGATGTTTTGAGGTTTTTAGTCATATGGGAGGAACCAAAACAGTCAAAGGAAAAACGACTGTAAAGATACATCTTGCTCTAATCATGAGGCAGAGAATCACTGTTCTGACCATTTGCGTACAATGTAGTCTGGTTGAGATGTTATCTTCACATACATATATGTTTTATTCTTCATTATCTGTGATCGGGGCAAGTATATTTGCATATCACTTCGATGGGTGAAGTTAGCTCCCTTGTTGCAGAAAGTGTTGTATTAGATGCTGTACACAAATACGAAACGTTAATAAAATCCTAACCAGAGTGATCAATCCTTCTTCTGGCAAGAAAATGCAGGGATCCAAACGATGGGGTTTCACAGACGAAGCAAAGGGGGGTGTTCCTGTATGCATGTATCACGAGTTGTTACAGTGTATTTATATCTACTGACTTCCTGGCATGCCTACGCTAAAGTATGGGTATTGCAAACAGTATTGTTCACTTAATGTCCTGAGAAAACAGATACAGAAACAATTGGCAAGCAGAAGGATAATATTTCACACACTGATCTCATTGGTAAGTATAGTGCTCCTGAATGCAGTTTGAATACCGTAACTCAAGAAATGTTTTTTTTTTTAAATATTTAGGATCTTTGGGAGTTTTAGTTATGTAAACAGTTGCAATGGGCAAATCGTTTTGTTTCCTAAACGTAATCCCTGTGGATACATCTGTACATTTCTTTCAGATCAGTTTTTGATACTTTAAGTATTCCTAGCCAACAGTGTACAACTTTACTGATGTTTCATATAGTCGTTCTCCACTTGCGATCATTGAGCACCATAATTGTTGGACTAATCTTGAGAAACTAGAGATCGTCAAGGAAATTTTCATCAGGTTTCATATTCCTGTTCACCATTTGTGATCACGGGGAGTGATGACTTCCAGAAACTTGTCAAACTAGTGATTGTCATCCTGCAAAGGTGTTATTCATATTTCTGTTGTACATACAGTCACTAGGAGTCATGGTTGTACCAGAAACAAATGTTGAACAAAGGACTATATATTTACACGTATACATTAGCCACTTACAGTATGTAGGCTCCTGTCCGACACCTGAGAAAAATCGCTCATCAGAAAGCAGGATAATGACGAATGGGCCTGTAAATATTAAAAAGCATTTGGTATTAATCATCATCTTTAAACCATCGCCATCATCACTTGCTCCATTGTTTAAGTTCGACAAGGCTATGAACTATATTTCAGTCATCACGATCTTGACATCTTGACATCTTGACAATGATGGCGATTCTGAAACGATTCAGGTATTATGTGTTTTCACTTGTGTGTAACCCACTGGTGTAAGATGCTAAAAACTACACTGATTTGTATCCAAATGAAATCGATGAATTGCGACATAGTTCAACGTGGGGAATTCGCTTATTAAATAGAGCGCAATGAGCTCTCTGTACTAAAAATATCTTATACTCATCGCTGGAAACAAATCTGTTTTAGAAAATATGCTGTCGTTATGTGTACATGTTTACATTTGATATTGATTTGAGTTTTGATTTTGATCATTACTTCATTTTGTTGCTTATATTTTCACATCGACACACTGACTGGTTATTTGGTGAGACTTGTTGACTTATAGTCAGTGATCTGAAGGCATATCCAAGATATCATTTTCAAATTTAAATGTTATAATTATGATCAGACATATACCGTCAACCGAATGTCCAGGGGTAATCAACAAATCCAGTAACACATCAGAGGTAATTTCTAATGAGAAATAAGCGTAAGAGAAACCGCTGCTGAAGCGAAACTATACTGAACCACAAAAGAAATGTCGCGATGATAGGGGTTTCTTAAAGCACACAATTTAATTCACTCTAATTAACAATCAAATAGGAGGACTGAGTTCAAACTTGACAATTATGGTTAACACATTTTCGGGAATCACATTTAGAGTTGACACAAATATATCGCCAAAAATGGTACCAATAAGATACCCCAAAGTCAGTATCGTGTGTGGCCTCTATGGGCATTGATGGAATCGTTGCATCGTCTGTGCATGGAATGAATTAGCCGGTCGATGAAGGCCATAGGCACTTGGGTCCATACTCTGCGAAATGCCTGATCGAGTCCAGCCGCAGTTGTCGGCCTTGGTTGGAGGCAATTCAGTCTTCTTTGAATCTCGTCCCAAAGGTGTTCTACTGGACTTAAATTCTGACTCAGTGCAGGCTATTGTAGGGTTTGGATACCATGTTGTCTTAGGAAGTCCATTGTTACTCTGGCTTAGGAAGTCCAATGTTGCTCTGGCAGTGTGGCCACGACCGTTGTCTTGCTGGAAGCTGCGTTTCTTGTAACGTCTAAAATGTGGTACCACGTGGGGTATTATGATTTAATCAATATAGCAAGCAGCTGTCATTTCATTTCCTCATCCTGGAACAAGATTCTGGAACACCACGGTGTCAACTAACTGTTCAGAACAATTACACCCCACACTATGATGCTTGGATCACTGTACGAGTCTCTTTCAACAATACACTCATTTGAAAACATTTCACCACGCCATCGCCATACTCTCACTCTGCCATCGACTGTCGAAACACAATATCAGCTTTCATGAGATAACAGCACAGTTCTCCATTGTCGATAACCTCAATGTCGAAGCTGAGTTGCCAATTTTGGTCGGTTTTGGCGGTGATGAGCGGTGAGGACAGGACTACGATATGATCTGTGACAGCAGAGGTTTCTTTCGCGCAAACGTCGACGCACTGTATCGGCACTAAGGGGTCTGTTTTGAGTCAGAAATGGTTTGGCGTGCTGTTTCCTGTTGTAGAGGTGTGTGTGTGTGTGTGTGTGTGTGTGTGTGTGTGTGTGTGTGTGTGTGTGTGTGTGTGAAGCCCAAAAATCCGCCGTTTTGCTTTTATGACGTCACATAGGTGTGACCTTTGAGTGACCTAATCGATTGTTGAACCCCACCTTCCTTTGGAAGTCCCCTTCAGGCACAGGTGTGTGTGTGTGACCTTCAGGTTCACCTTAGTGGTCTGTGATTATTATTCAGTTATCTTATGACGGTTGTAGCTGTTAAAATTCATGCGCCATGTGGGCGCCCGTATATGATATGCGTGAATGGGGCGCTGTCTATGCACTAACATCAAAATCGCTTGCCCACTGAGCCGTAACTGAAGAGACATGTGACAGCTGTCATTGGATGAAATAGTGTAAGGTGTTATGTTTGTTAAAAGCACCTCCATCCAGTCATTAAAACTGACCACCATTTTAAGTATTTAATGCTGTCATTTGTATCACTTATGCTTATGCGTGTACTGATATGTTCAAGTAGGTGCGGACCTGAGGGGGTTGATGTGTTCAGCTTCCTGTGTGTGGCTTCCTGCGTCGCAAAGTTATCCGGTTCAAGTTGACCAGAAATTGTTTTATTGTAATTTAAAGGTCAGACTGTAATCATGTGTACATGGAATGGTTGTTGATAATTTTCAGCGTGATGGCGCACAGCCTACAATGAATATATAGTCACAAGTGGTCAGTTTCCGTTATGTAGGGAGAGAAGTGTCTGACCGGAATTAAAAACAGGAGATAGTAAACAGTTGAGGACTGATGGTCACTGAATATCTCAAGTAGGATGTCAAGTGGTTGTACAGTGACGAAATGATTTAGCATTTGTCATATATATTACTGAATAAGAAAACAAACCTACATGTGTTCTCCTGTAAAACGTTCCAGTGCTTTTACTCAAAATTTTAAAGCTGAACTTTACTCTCAAACTGCAAACATAAAAAACCCATCCATGAATACTTTATATGACACTTTTTTGACATCATATGACACATAGGTTACTTACATGCCGTTAGCCGCTCTTATTCCACAGACAGTACAATGACATACTGGTGTAAGCTTCTTGTGACTGTATTGTGTGGGGTATGCAGAGGTTGGGTTGGGACCTCCTGGTGTTAAGAATTGTATTCCTAGTATTCAGTGACATAGGTTTGAGATTGGTATAATAAAACAAAGATTTGTACAACGAACAGTTGTCTCATGTCAATCCTCCAGCAATGCATTAAGTGAGTGAGTGAGTTTAGTTTTATCTTACACTCAGTAATATCCCAGCTATATGTTCTGAAAATAATCGAGTCTGGACAAGACAATCCAGTGATCAACAGCATGAGCATCGATCTACCCAATTGGGATATGATGAGATGTGTCAACCATGCCAGCGAGCCTGACCACCCGATCCCGTTAGTCGCCTCTTACCACAAGCATGGGTTACTGAAGGTTCATTCTAACCGGGACCTTCATGGGTACAATACATTAAGAAACAAGAGAGATATACAGATTTCATTGTTATATAGCTCCGTTTCAAATGAGTAGACATTAGGATAGGAGCTCTCCCAAATGTCTACTTTACATGTTGTGCTAATTGTCTTATTGTCCTTCCTCATCGTCCTGTCCAGAACCTTCACTCGTTTGTAGAGTCATATATAATACGTTCAGGATACGGTTTAATGTTCATCCGTTCTAAAAGATGCTTCACTATGTAGGTTTTCCCACAGGAGGTGGGCCCTGAGACGATCATGGTAAATGGGTGTATTAGTCTAAATTCTTCCAATGACTGGGTAGTACTTCCTGATGAATGTGGTTGCACTGGTTGCATCATAGGTGATGGTACTTGTGCTGGTACTTGTGGTGGTGGTGGTGGTGGTATTTGTTGTTGTTGTGGTGGTGGTACTTGTTGTGGTACTTGTGGTGGTGAGTGGTGGTGGTACTCGTGGTGTTGGTGGTGGTGGTACTTGTGGTGGTGGTACTTGTGGTGTTGGTACTTGTGGTGGAACTTGTGGTGGTGGTGGTGGTACTTGTGTTGGTGGTACTTGTGTTGGTGGTACTTGTGGTGGTGGTGGTACTTGTTGTGGTGGTACTTGTGGTGGTGATGATGGTGGTGCTAGTGGTACTTGTTGTTGTTGTGGTAGTGGTACTTGTGGTAGTGGTGGTACTTGTGTTGGTGGTACTTGTGGTGGTGGTGGTGGTGGTACTTGTGCTGCTACTTGTGTTTGTGGTGGTGGTGGTATTGTTGTTGTTGTGGTGGTGGTACTTGTTGTGGTACTTGTGGTGGTGAGTGGTGGTGGTACTCGTGGTGTTGGTGGTGGTACTTGTGGTGGTACTTGTGGTGGTGGAACTTGTGGTGGTGGTGGTGGTGGTACTTGTGGTGGTGGTGGTGGTACTTGTGTTGGTGGTATTTGTGGTGGTGGTGGTACTTGTTGGGGTGTTGGTAGTTGTGGTGGTGGTGGTACTGTTGTTGGTGGTGGTGGTACTTGTGTTGGTGGTACTTGTGGTGGTGGTGGTGGTACTTGTGGTGGTACTTGTGTTGGTGGTGGTGGTGGTACTTGTGGTGGTGGTTCTTGTGGTGGTGGTACTTGTTGTGGTACTTGTGGTGTTGGTGCTGGTGGTACTTGTGTTGGTGGTACTTGTTGTGGTACTTGTGGTGGTTGTACTTGTGGTGTAGGTGGTGGTGGTACTTGTGGTGGTACTTGTGTTGGTCGTACTTGTGTTGGTACTTGTGGTGGTGGTGGTGGTACTTGTGGTGGTACTTGTGGTGGAACTGGTGGTGGTACTTGTGGTGGTGGTACTTGTGTTGGTACTTGTGGTGGTGGTGGTGGTGGTACTTGTGGTGGTGGTGGTGGTGGTGGTACTTGTGGTGGTGGTGGTGGTGGTGGTGGTACTTGTGGTGGTACTTGTGGTGGTACTTGTGGTGGAACTGGTGGTGGTACTTGTGGTGGTGGTACTTGTGTTGGTACTTGTGGTGGTGGTGGTGGTGGTACTTGTGGTGGTGGTGGTGGTGGTGGTACTTGTGGTGGTGGTGGTGGTGGTGGTACTTGTGGTGGTACTTGTGGTGGTACTTGTGGTGGTGGTGGTACTTGTTGTGGTACTTGTTGTGGTACTTGTGTTGGTACTTGTGTTGGTACTTGTGGTGGTGGTGGTGGTTCTTGTGGCGGTACTTGTGGTGATGGTACTTGTGGTGGTACTTGTGGTGGTACTTGTGGTGGTACTTGTGGTGGTACTTGTGGTGGTACTTGTGGTGGTGGTACTTGTGGTGGCACTTGTGGTGGTGGTGGTACTTGTGGTGGTGGTGGTTGTGGTGG